ATATATAAAAGAGGGAATGAAAAAGCTGAGGTGGCACAGTTCATAGATGAGCATTGCCATTTATCTTTTTTCCTATTTTTTCCAACCTTTTCCCTATTTTTTCCATTTATTGGTTTTATTATGATTGAATTAAAAACATTCATTTAAGATTGAGAAACTGACCCTCTATAGCCCTTGAAAATTTAATTAGCCCATATTTTCTCTCATGGACCCGAAATAGCCTTTAGGCCTAATCTATTGATAAATTATAGCCACTATTTCCAATGCACTTCTCCCCTTCCCAATGCATTTTTCAGTCGCCTACTCCCCTTCCCCCCTCTCTTTCTCTTCTCATCTTCTCCCTTCTTCAATATACCAGTGACTTCCATCTTTCTTTCCCTCTATTTTTATATTTTCCCTTCTTCACTCTCTCCTTTTTTTTTTCTTTTTTCTTTTCTTCTTCCATAGCAACACTAACATACATCTTTTTCAAACTTATCTTTTTTTTTTTCTTTGAGATCTCCTCCTCCTTTATTTAGATGCAAAAATATCTACCTTCTTGAGTAAGTTCCCGCAAAAGTCTAGCGGTGGTTGCCGCTTTCTTCGCTTTCTGTCCATTTCAGATATAATATTACATGATTTTTTTTGGATGATTTTGCAAGAAGATGAAAAATGGAGAAAATAAAATAGCCACGACGGGAGAAAAAAAAAATTCCGGCCAAGTTCACTGTCCTCCATTACCATCAGTGCTCCTTTATTTATACATTGTGTAATCAGTGTATAATAATGGTATAATATGGTGTATAATCAATGTGTATACATTTTACACTAGTGATACATTTATTATACACGTATTATACAAAACTGGGCGTAAAAGATTACATTGGCTAAATTGAGTGTTGAGAATATTGTATATAATGTGTATATATTACTATGAACATTTATATAAAAGGTGTATCTACACTGATATAATACATATACATTTTTTTAATTTAATTCAATGTTAAAATAATTTTGTATATATTTTCTATATAAAGTATAGAATAGTATATATATATTAATTATACACGTATTATAAAAACTGGGCGTGTAAGATTACAGTGGGTACATTGAGTGTTATGAATATTGTATATAATGTGTATATATTATGTATGCACATTTATATGAAAGGTGTATCTACACTTATATAATACATATACACTTTTTATACAAATTCAATATTCATATAATTTTGTATATAATAGTATATAATGTATATATGCAGTGCACATAGAATTTACAATTGTATATAAAGTAAATAATTAATATATTTTCCTTATATAAAATGTATAATTTTTCTCTCATAAATACTCTCAATCTTTCTTTCTTTTTCTCTTTAGATCTTATTTCTTTCTATTCAATGTGTCTGTTTATACTGCCTTATGTGTTTTTTTCTTTTCAATCTTTTCCCCCCTCTCTTTTAGTTCTTAATTCTTTAGGTTTGATAGTGGAATTGGGATGGATGAGGATGATCTAGGGGTGCGTGAGTTTGCTTTTTGATGATCTATTATTTTTGGGATATGGGTAGATGGTGTGGTGGCAGCAGTGCATGGAGGTGGTAGCGGTGCCATGGCGGTAGCGACATCGGTGCAATAGTGGCAGGGCAATGGTGGAGCTTTTTTGTGTGGATGTCTGATAGATGGTGGAAAAGAAAAAATATATGCGGTGTGGTTGGTGGAATTTGGGCTAACCATTCTAATATCTTTTAGGCTACTAGACGTATTTGAAATTTTGTGGCTACCAGATGATATAAGTTTGCAGCGAGTGGCTACAAATGTATTTTGCTCTTTAAGATTGCTATTTGTGTTTCTGAAAAGTCATGCTTCCGAAATCCGAAAGAGTGAAACTATTGCACTACTAAAATAAAAAAAACGATTGCAATTTCAAAAGACACCAACCTAGGTATCGGTAAAGTTACCACACATTATTTCACTATTTATTACACATTAATGCAGAATTTTCTTACAAGTCTTGAGGTTATTTAATTTGATGTTTATGGAAGACAAGAATTATGCTTTTCATATCCCAGACTCCTAAAATTTCTTTTGCGTTTCCTTACTTGTAAATCCATTTTTACGTAATGCAAATAATATACCTCTGAAAAGATTCAATTCTTCAAAGGCTATTATTCTTTCCATAAATTTGTCTCTCTAGGTAAACTGGATGGCTTGATCCGAGGGTTATCTCCATTCCAGCATTCTATTATAGTTTTCTTAGTGAAGGAAGAATCTATGACTATATAAGGGAAGTGATGATAGAGTTGTGGAAAATGAAAAATGATCCAACCTTCTAAAGAATTTCATGCTATTTTTAATCATTAAAGTAAGCATTGTATTTGAAAGTGGTTCTGAAGTGGCTAGCTAGCCCAAGAATAGTTAAGGCACTCTACATGGGTATGTTTCGATACTCTAAAATAATCATTATGTGTTGTCATTTCATCACATGGGACATTGCTATATTTAACTCTATTTTTGGTATCTTTAATAATTTGAAGAGGGAAAAAACATGATTACTTTGATCTTAGTTAAAATAGTTGTTACTAACTTCTAATATTGGTGTCGTCATGAAACGAAAAGATATCCCATCGGCTTGACTGTAAAACAAGAAATTCCAGATGAACTCACAGATCTAGGTATCTTAATCTCCTCTTCATTTGTGTTTTCTCTTTATCTTCGAAAACATCGAATTTGTTAATTATGCTATGTTGTTTTTGTCCCTTTTCAGGTTTAATCGGTTTCTTTGTATATAATCATTCCATGTCGCAATCTCTGTAAGCAAGGTAAATAACTCTTTCCATGTGGATTCTCAAGAAACTAAACCAAAAATAAATTTTCATTCTCTTTTTTCCTATAATGAAGTTCAATCATGAGTATTTCATTGATTCGTTTTCAGCGATTTACCCTATGAGATAGCACGATTAATTCGTGATTTTAGATGAAAAAGTCATAACAGTAGAATATAAATTTTGTGATCGTAGAGACAAAGTTATTGATTTGGGTTGCTGGAATTGGAATAGCAGAAGAAAATAATATAGAGATATATAAAGAAATTATTAGAAACTCGGAAATTTAGTCCTACCAATAACATGATACACTTAATTGATTTTTTTTCTTTTTCTATTTCTTTTGTTTTGGTTTCCTTTCCTTTTTAGTTTATTCTTTTATTTTTATTTGAGAGAACTTAAAGAGTCTATTACCTTGCTTCCGAACAAAATTCTAAAATAAAAAACCTTACAAGAAGAAGAAGAACCGGATGTATCTTATGTTTATCTCCCCAAATTTTTACTATTCTTTTCTCTTTTTTATTTTTTTTTTTGTTTTTATTCTTCATGTTTACATATACTGATTTAAATGGGTCGGGCTATTTCAACTTTCATTTAACTTGGATTACAATTTGACGTGTTATTTTTGACAAAGAATTTTAAGTAAATATTTAAAAGAATCCAAAAAGATGATAGTTTCCTTAAATAGTTTTTGCTCGGTAAAGATTGAGTTTTTTATTAAAAATATACTGTATATATTAATATTTATCATATTTACCGTTACACTAGTACCAAAATAAATAAAGCAGCCTAGATTTGATCCCCTGGAATCGAAACCATCGGAAGTTTCTACATTTTCCACCAAAACACGCTCAGAGACCTCCTCGAAGTTTCTGGAACAAACTAAATCGCACCGCCCCATTCCCGTCTTTACTTCTCTTCTCCCTTTTATATCTTTCTCCGCCATAATTTCTCCACAAACAGATTCAAATCTCGGCGCTCGAAGCTTTGTTGTTCTGAGAAATTATCACCCAGTTTTCGTTCAGGCATTTTCACAAACACCTTGCAAATGGAAGAAGACGGTGCCGTTACAGTGTACAGTGGCAGCGCCATTACCGACACCAAGAAGAATCCATTCTCAATCAAAGTCGGGCTGGCCCAAATGCTCCGTGGAGGAGCCATTGCTGAGGTCACCACCGTCGACCAAGCGAAGATCGCCGAATCCGCCGGCGCCTGCTGCCTCGTAGTATCAGAACCTAAAGGACCCGGAATCTCGCGCATGGCCGACCCATCTCTAATTAAAGAGATCAAACAGGCTGTCTCAATTCCCGTAATGGCAAAAGCCCGGGTCGGGCATTTTGTCGAAGCCCAGATCCTTGAAGCTATTGGAGCAGACTATGTAGACGAGAGCGAGGTTTTAGCCCTAGCTGACGAAGATCATTTCATCAACAAACACAATTTCCGTGCCCCATTCGTCTGTGGATGTTGCGATCTCGGAGAAGCGTTAAGAAGAGTCCGCGAAGGTGCTGCGATGATTAGGACCCAAGGGGATCTATTAGGTACAGGTAATATTGTGGAGACAGTTCGCAATGTGAGGAAAGTGATGGGAGATATTAGAGTTCTATCAAACATGGACGAAGATGAAGTTTTCACTTTTTCGAAAAAGATCTCCGCGCCTTATGATATCGTCGCGCAAACGAAGCAGATGGGTAGACTTCCGGTGGTACATTTTGCAGCTGGTGGTATTGTGACCCCAGCAGATGCAGCGCTCATGATGCAGCTGGGTTGTGATGGCGTGTTTTTGGGACCCGATATATTTAACTGCTCGGATCCTTATAAGAAAGTAAGGGCAATTGTGCAGGCTGTTAGGAACTATAATGATCCACATATTTTGGCTGCGGCTAGCAGTGGTTTGGAGGAAGCAATGGGTGGTTTGAATTTGAACGAGAATAGAGTTGAGCGATTTGTTAGTGCAGAAGAGACTTATTGATGAGACTATAGGTTAGCTTGTCTTATTTGTCTGTTGTTTTATCATAGTATTATGTATTTTTCAGTTCTGTATTTGTGAGCAGTATTATCTTTCTTGGTTTACTTTTGCAATAACATGATGATGAGTTAAGCATAGCGTGTCTTGTGCTTGTTTACATGCTTGTGATACCAAAATGAAAATGGCAACATTGATAATAGTTGACTTGAAATGAAATGACTGACTACCACATTGTGGAGGCACGTTGATTAATTTGGTTTTAGTTGTTGTTTACATGTTTATAGCTGAATTTTGAAACAACATATGATCGAGTCCAATCCAATCAATTCTTTCATATGGAGGCATTGGCTAAATAACTGCTGTTATAGTGAATGATCAGTGTTTCAGAGCTCTAAGTTATGCCAACCAAAGGAGTTGATGCACTTTACGGAGCAGTTCTTTACTCCTGTTTCATAATGCCTTTCCAGATTGAGCGTTTGCATGATAATTGTCACCCTTGTTGAAAAGGTACCTCAGAGCAGTTTCATAGGCAGTGAATATAGCCCCATACAGTAGGAATGCTCTGCCAACAGTCGTTCCCAAACCTCGCCAGAGCACAGCGTGTCCCTCTTCTTTATCACTTCGCCTGAAGCAATCAACAATACCACTGTATTTTGCATGTGATTGAGCTTGGAGTCTGGTCTTAACAACATCTAGGCGATAGCAGCTTATCCAGCTAACAGCTCCTGCTATGAGCGTTGTTTGAAAGCTCTCTTGGCCGTTCTTGTGACAGCAAGGTTGAAGTTGCTCCTTTGTATACTCGTATATCCAGAAATACAAACCATGAGAGTGTGAATCTCTTAGGACAGTAATGGTTAATCCCCGGTAGATTCCCCTCCAACCTTCCTGTTTGATTCTTCTTCTTGTGGCATCTTTTGGACTCTTGAGACTAGTTGTTTGCTTGTTCTGCTGATGGGTTTTGCTTTGCAATTGAATTCTGATTTTCACCAATTCCACAGGGCTGATAATTAGGCTCTGTATTGCTCCTGCTCCAATGCCCCCCCAAAGCCACCCCTTTGTACGAGGATGGGTCGCTGGCTGGGATGTTTCTGTCAGTCCGATATAGAATTGCATAGCTCTGAAATACCATGGCATTCTGCAGTAGGGAGGAAACTAATTTGCCCAAATTCGATATCAAATTTATTCTTGCGCAAGGGAGGGACAGGGGGTTGGGGCTTGGGGTTATGGAATGAGGGGGGCATGCTTCGACTGGGTGGTGTCGAAAGGTACACGAGGCAAAAGTTTGGCGAGTTCCAGATTATGTACCACTTGAGCTGGTTCTTGGCACTATGGCTGCAGTTCGAAGAGATCAGAATCTATATGCATACGCTATTTGTGATTTTTATATCTTCTTAGTTTTTTTTAGACCGTCCCATTATGGTGGTTATCCTTGTTAAGAAGCGTGGGAATCTTAAAACAAGTGGACGCATATCTAGTAATTTACATAGGTTTTTGTATACGGTAAAAATCAGAGGGTCCGCTTTCATGATCGTTGAAGCACCTCGTAAAAACCGCCCCCAGAAGGCTTGAAGTTCAGCTCGGAATTCGACCCCGAGGGTTCTCAATGATCGATTTTGAGGTAGTGCAAATCAGCGGTTATAATGGATTAACGGGAAGTTCCCAAGGCACGTGACTAAAGCTGACCAAATCTATTAGACTAGTTCAAGCTTGTACCGTGGCATTAAATGGCTGTACCAGCCTCAAATCCTTGTAATAAATGTGTCTGTACTATGTTGAGATTCTCATTCATATATAAAGGAGACCCTTGTCATTTTGTAAAGATAATATCATTTACAACATTCAATACAAGAATATTCTCTGCTCTCTAACACATTCTCTCTTGATTATATTATTTACATTTATTATTTACATTCATCGTGTTTCATTAATTGTTCTTCATTTATTGCTCATTATTAATCATAAAGAGCTCAAATCAAAGTTCTTAGAACTGTTAGACCTTCATCGGCCTGTCACAGTCCATCGTCTAGCTCGACCCCGAGGCTCGTATAACCTGGCTCGAGGCCCCGATTCTTAGCCTCTCGGTTTGCCACATTGCATTCTAGCTCTTATCTTAATTTCTAGTCTCACACTTAGCATCTATTGCCTAACAACTAGCATAAAAATAAATCACGTGTTTTTAGAACCACAACATCAAATTTAATTGTTATTACTATTTTCAAGGTAAACAGTTTAGCGCCCACCGTGGGGCTAAAAATAATAGTGGTTGTTTTCTTGCTGGTTTACTACATAATGCAAGTTATCTTTCATGTTTTTTCTTGTCGAAGAATCTTTGATTTCAGGTCAAAATGTTTAACTCAGTAAACGCACATGAAAACAACGGCCTTGAGGACCATGGAGATAATAGTGTAGTTGTTTCAGGTGTTGGTGTACCACCACGAAACCCTGAAGATGCTTCAGAGCTAATTCCCGTAGACGTGGTCTCGCGCAATGCTCAACACGTCGACATCAGCTCCAACACCAACAGGAGCACACACCAAGAAAACCAACAAGAAGCTCAGGAAATCCCAGCACAGGGGGAACAAGAGGTTAGCCTTCACGTTATTTTTGAGATGTTACAGGCACAACAACTGGCGATTGCTCAACTGCAAAGCCACCAAAAAACTCCAAGAACAACAACATCGGAAACGGCTCCTCGAGCCGAACAAGTACCGGAAAGATCGAGTAACAACGGGTCAGCAGCCGACCCCTCTATTATGAAGATGCTCGAGGACCTCACAAAGAGGATTGAATTGGGCGAAAAATGATAGAAGCTAAAGACAAAAAGATGGAGACCTACAACTCGAGGGTCGACGAGATCCCGGTTGCGCCCCTGATCCTGAAGGGTGTTGACTCAAAGAAATTCGTACAAAAGCCATTCCCGTCAAATGCGGCTATGAAGCCCATCCCGAAGAAATTCAAAATGCCCTATCTTCCAAAGTACAACGGGACCTCGGACCCCAACGAGCACGTTACGGCTTACACTTGTGCCGTAAAGGGAAATGACCTGAAGGACGACGAGACCGAATCCGTTCTGTTAAAGAAGTTCGGAGAAACACTTTCAAAAAGGGCCATGATGTGGTATCACAACCTAGCTCCGAATTCAATAGACTCATTTGCCATATTGGCAGATTCTTTCATAAAGGCACATGCCGGTGCCATCAAGGGGGCTACAAGGAAATCCGACATCTTCAAAATCAAACAAAGGGAAAACGAGATGTTGCGAGAGTTCGTATTTCGCTTTCAAATGGAGTGAATGGAGTTACCACCAGTCTCCGATGACTGGGCAGTACATGCCTTCACCCAAGGCTTGAATGAACAAAGCTCGGGGACTTCGAAGTAGCTGAAGCAGAATTTGGGTTGAATACCCTGCTGTGACTTGGTCGGATGTTCACAACCGATATCAATCAAAGATCAAGGTCGAGGACGACCAATTAGGAGCCCCCACGGGCTTGGTATATCCATGCAGACTTATGGCAAAGGAGCCAAAACAAAAAAAGGAAAGGTACCAACAGTACACTGAAGATCGAAGAAACGCCCCAAGGCATAACATACCCCGGAGCGACCGAAGGACAGACCGATGTCAGAATTCTCGGGGACTCATAAACAGAGACGGATTTGATAGGTACACAACGCTGACCGAGGCACCCCGGTTGTCTGAATACAACTTCAATGTCGATGTTTCGGATATCGTGTCGGCCATAGGTAAAATCAGAGACACAAAATGGCCAAGGCCCCTACAGTCGGATCTATCGCAGAGTAACCCTAACCTGATGTGCGAATTCCATGGTATACACGGTCATAGAACCGAAGATTGCAGATAGCTCCGAGAAGAAGTAGCTCGACTACTTAGCAAAGGGAACCTCCGAGAGTTCCTCAGCGACCGAGCCAAAAATCAATTTCGGGAAAGAGAGGAGAATAGGAAAAATGAAACAGAAGAGCCGCAACATGTCATCCACATGATTGTTGGAGGAGTCGACACCCCACAGTAGCCCACCATCAAAAGAACAAAAATATCCATCACCAGGGAAAAGCAAACTCGAGGCTACTTACCCGAGGATGCTCTCACATTCAGCGATGAGGACATCAAGACCCTGTCTCAGCCTCATAACGACGCACTAGTAATTTCTTTTCTCGTGAATACATTTCAAATTAAACGTGTACTTGTGGATCCAGGTAGCTCGACCAACATTATTAGGTCGAGGGTGGTGGAGCAGTTCGAACTGCTTGACCAAATCGTGTCCGTCTCTCGAGTCCTCAATGGATTCAATATGACGAGCGAAATAACGAAAGTGGAAATCACCCTCTCGGTCAATGTGGCCGGCACGACCCAAAATGCCAAATCATGTCATCGAAGGAGACATGAGGTATAACGGCTTGCTTGGAAGGCCATGTATACACTGCATGAGAGAAGTACCATCAACCCTTCATCAAAAGGTGAAGTTCCCAATGAAGGATGGAATAAAAACCGTGTATGGGGAACAACATGCAGCGAGGAAATGTTCGCGATGCACGATGTGGCATCGACATTAACGCATCCAACATCGAAAGAGCCAAAGGATAAGCAAACAATGAAGTAGCAATCACGAAACATATTCTCGGCTACACCCGAATAAAACAAGCGAAGGACTGTGCCGTGTCCCTGAAGCAAACGTTTGAAGCATATCGAGGCTCAAAGCACCATCACCACTAAGGTATAACCGTCTCCCTTTTTATTTACATCTTACACTAACCTTTGTGCAAATGTCCGATCAGAACAGTCAAAGCACTGTCTAGCTCGAAGACCTTGAGGTTTCAAAGCATACGTTGCATTTTTTTCCTTCGATCGGGTTTTATCCCAAGAAGGGTTTTACAGACAAGGTTTTTAACGATGCAACATCTATATGCTATCTAAGGAGAATTTCACAAGTGTTCAAGGCTTCTCTTCAAGTGATATTATCCCGGAATATCACCTTCTCGAAGAAGTCAAGATGAGCCAAAAAGGGTCTCAATAGGAAAATGATGTATCGGGCAAAACGGTCGAATGAACCGTGTCCATATAAAATAATTGAGGCCTTGACAGCAAAAACATGCATACTTGTGCCAAGTAATCAGAGAATATTTTCATATTTTCTCCTCCATCAAAACACTTTACGCTTCAAAGAGGTATGCTACTTTTACAAGAAACAGGCCTCAAAGCCAGAAATTTCCTGAACACTCAGGGACTGACGCCAAAAACTTGAGCCCACATGACCTCTGGGTCTGAAACTTCGAACTCATAAGCCCTCAATGAGGCAACACCAAGTTTACGAAGAATGGCTCCAGAGCCCAAAAAACATTCGACGTCTCGGGGACTGTCGTCAACTGTCATCCCATCGAGCAATCAGAAACTCAACGCTGTAAGACCCCAAGCAGACAACCTCGAGCCCGAAAGCCCTCCATGCGGCAACACTAGAAAATATAAGACCTTCACGAGGCATTATCAACAATATAAGACCTCTATAAGGCAACACCAAAACTGTAAGACCTCAAGCAAGACGTGAGTTATACTTGTACCAAGTAACCAAAACTGTAAGACCTCAAGCAAGACATGAGTTACACTTGTACCAAGTGACCAAATTTGTAAGACCTTACAAAAGGCATAAATCCCGATCTTAAAGTTAAGGCTATACATTCAAACTTATAAGACCCCTAAAAAGTCATACCCTCGATGTAGACGTCGAAACTACTTCACTCGGGGAGCAAAAGGCTCCGGCCAAATACAATGACTACGGTCACAAGGATGTACCAGCCAAACTCACGCGACTCGGGGACGCCCGACCGTCGCTACAAAATTACAGGCCTCAAATTACTTCGAAATACTTCGAAAAGAACCGATTAATCAGGCTACCCTCGGCATAAGCAAAAGAACTTCGATCATATCAACTCCAAATAACAGGCTTTGAAACAATTTCAGCCATCGAGCGAAACCTCCCGAGGTGCTCATTCATCGCTACATAACGACTTACAATTGAGGTTCTTATCGAGCCGTTGAAGAGCCGGGCGAACACAAAACTCCAAAAAGTCTTTAGCAAGGGAAAAATAAAGCCTACTTTAGAGGTCGTACCGACCCAACGCGTAAAAGCTAC